CCTAAACCCTAAACCCTAGATTCCAAGGACAGGCTGTCCCAGCCAGCAGACGCTGAAAGTGTGGGGCAGTTTATGGCTCCGAGGTTGGCGACGCTTCGAGGTCCAGAGGAGCCCTAAACCCCTAAGGAACCCTTAAACCATCGGTTTAGGGTTTAGGGTTTAGGGTTTAGGGTTTAGGGTTTAGGGTTTAGGGTTTAGGGTTTAGGGTTTAGCAAAGCCAAAAACAGAACCCTTAAAGGAAACCTTAAGGGTTTACGGTTTACCTAGGGTTTAGGGTCCCTAAAGGAGCCCTCTACCTTAAAAAGGAACCCTTAAAGGAACCCTTAAGGGTTTAGGGTTTAGGGAACCCTTAAAGGCACCTTTATAATAGGGTTTAGGGTTTAGGGTTTTAGGGTTTTGGCCTTAGGGTTTCAGGGATTTAGGGTATAATACCCCAAACCCTACAACATAGTAGGTTATGACCCCTTAATTAGAGGGTAGAACCCCTAAAACGGTAGGTTTTGGGATTCCCAGGTAGGTACATATATAGGGACAGTCTTCGGGAGGGCGTCCTCGACTCGTTGGCCACGTCTTGCGTGAGCTTCGGGGCTGGCGCCGGGCAGACCTGGTTGGTGCAATGATTGCTGTTTTTCAACAGGAGCCTTAGGGCTTTAGGGTTTTAGGGCTTTGGTTTTTAAGGTTTTGGGTTTTAGGGTTTAGTGTTTTGGATTGCCGTTTTTAACCGTGAGCCTTATCCTTGTGAAACCTACCGTTTTAGCATCCCTTACGAAAAGGCGAGCTGATTACAGTCCTTGAGAAAGTAGGGTTTTCGGAGTTCAGGACGGCAATATGATGCTGCGCTTGCAAGATTTCACAATTGCAATCAGTACGTGCACGAAGGCTGCACATTGGCAGATGGCATTGGCTTTGTTTCGTGGCATGCCTAAGGCATCAATCACCCCCAAAGTGGTAAGCTATAACGCTACCATCAGCTCCTGTGAGAAAGGCTCGCAGTGGCAAGTGGCGCTGCAGCTTTTCGAGGAGATACCACAAGTGAAGCTTGTACCTGATGTGATTAGCTACAATGCCACCATCAGCTCTTGTCAGAAAGATGGGCAGTGGCTTCCTGCACTAAAGCTGTTCAAATCTATGGCAGAGGTTGTGGTTATAGCGGATGCTATTACATACAATGCTACGGTTAGCTCCTGTGGAAAGTCCGGGCAGTGGCAGTTGGTCCTGTATCTGCTTGAGGATATGCCAAAAGCCAAGATTGCAGCCGACATCATCGGCTACACCGCCGCCATCAACGCTTGTGAGAAGGGGAAGCAATGGCAATGGGCCCTACGCTTGTCTACGGCCATTCGTGAAGCAAAGCTCCCTGCGGATGTCATGAGCAGCAATGCCACCATTAGCTCTGTGGGCAAAGCTGGGCAGTGGGAGTTAGCAATACACTTGTTCAGCGCAATGCCGAAGTGGAGATTGCCTGCAACGGTCATCAGCTACAATGCAGTCATCAGCTCCTGTGAGAAAGGTCAGCAATGGACTTGGGCTGTGCATTTTCTTTACAGCATGTCGGACGCTGAAGTGACTGCTGATGTCATCAGCTATAATGCCACTATCAGCTGTTGCGCAAGGAGCGCCCGATGGCAACTGGCTATATACTTGTTGGATGTTATGCCTGAAGCGGACCTTTTGCCGAATGTCATAAGCTTCAATGGTGCCATAAGCTCCTGTGAGAAAGGTCGGCAATGGCAGCTGGCGGTGGGACTTCTCAAAGCAATGCCGAAGGCCAGACTCTTGCCGAATGTCATTAGCTACAATGCCACAATCAGTTCGTGTGAGAAAGGCGCGCAGTGGCAGTTGGCATTGGGTTTGCTGCACACCATGCCCGACGAAAGCCTTGCGGCTGATGTCATAAGCTACAGTGCTGCCATCAGCTCCTGCGAGAAGGACGAACAATGGCAATGGGCGCTTCAGCTGTTCACCGCTATGGACGGAGCAACGCTTGACCCAGAGATTATCAGCTACAACGCTGTCATCAGCTCGTGCGAGAATGGTCGGAAGTGGAAGCTGGCGACGCACCTCTTTGCTCGAATGCCCCACGCTAAAGTCGTCAGAGATATCATCAGCTACAATGCCACGATCAGTTCTTCTGCGCGAGGGAGCCAGTGGCAACTAGCTACACACCTCCACCATGAGCTGCACCAAGACATGCTTCATGCTGATGCCGTCAGCTACAATGCCACCACGAGCGCCTGTGTTCAGGCGGCGAAGTGGCAGCTCAATGTTCACTTTCTGGATGCCATGAAGCAGCACGTAGTTGCTGCTGCGACTGTCTATCCCAACTTTTCTGAATGTGGTGTTTTTGGGTGAAGTAGATGTTTGCCTTTTCTATCAAAATGTAGGTTGACCCTAGGTCTTATGAGTGTCTACAAGCCAGACTGCCCGGGCTCAGGGCGTAAGCAAGTCAGGCATTTCTCCGGATACGTAGGTCAACCCGAGAAGTGCCCGACCGCGAGATTGTACCCAGCTGTCAGCTGTCACACAGCTGCCCAGGCTCCCCATGTCATCAGCTACGATGCAGTGCTCAGCGCTTGCGAGAAGAGTGGCCACTGTCAGGTCACCTTACAGGTTGTCGAGTCCGTCCATTTAGATGCTGTTGTGGCTGATGTGTTCCTGGACGCTGCGGTATTGGAATCTGTCTACAGAAACTTGGCAGTACATTAACAATCGCCTCAAGATTTTTTCGGGATACGAATATAACCCAGATTTAGCCCCTCCGCTCCCTATAGGAAACTCAACACAGCAAGGCAAGCTGCAAGGCTATGGCATAGCAACGCAAGCGCGAGAAGCTCGAGTTTTTGGAGGCCATGCGATGGGCTTCACATCGCCCGTTGTGCGGAGCTGGCTTTCGGCAACACTGCCACCGCAGCCACGCAATGCGAAGGGGCATTGCAGGGGGTAAGACTGGCAGCAGCAGAATTGGGCCACAGACGTGCGCTTAAACTGCGCATAAACTGGACCCCCTGGAACCACAACCAACCCGTATTTAGCACACCCACTGTGCTCAGCAAGTTTCCTTATCCCGACACCCTATAATTTAAACAAAACAAGCACTCATACACTGAACAGTACGAACAGTACCCAGACCCTTGAATCACTATTAGTTTTTGGATACCTTAGTTTCTTATTGAAGTATCCTACATTAAAACTGAGTCATCCAATACACGGTACTGAGTTCAAGGGTCTAGGTACTCCCGACCTGACCATGCAAGACCAAGTCACGCTGCCAAACAGATTTTTGCAATTCCGGGAAAGTAGCTTTTATGCATGGCTGAGTTATCGGATCATAGACTAGAGGCGGTCTTCTCTGAAAGCTCTTGGGTGTTGCTTTAGGTGTGCCTTTTTCACTTATGGTTCTGGTTTCCTTTGATTGATGGAGATCTCCAAGCACTGACCTTTTAGGAGGCGTGGAGTGTCAATTACCGTGGCTTGGGGGACTCCTTGTGCGTAAGTTAGGCTCTTGAGACATAACCTTGCTGCAGTTGTTTTGCTTCTATTTACGGCTGCGGCTTGTTCCCAGCAATGGATGTCCGAAGTGCACCCAAAACCGTGTGTTCGTCTTGCTGTGGTTGTGGGGTCAGGTATATCCCCTAAACCCTAAAAACTAAACCTTAAACCCTAAAAACTAAACCCTAAAATCTAAACCCTAAACCCTAAACCCTAAAAACTGATCCCTAAACCCTAAAATCTAAACCCTAGACCCTAAAAACTACTCCCTCAACCCTTAACCCTAAACCCTAAACCCTAAAAACTAATCCTTAAACCCTAAACCCCAAAAACTGAACCCTAAACCCTAATATAACAGTCATGCCAAGTTCTCGTCCGAAAGCCACCTCTAGGTAGTCGTCTAAAGCACGGTGTCTTGAGTGGCGTCTTTCTTTGGGTTTAGGGATTAAGGGTTTAGGGGTTTAGGGTTTAGGGTTTAAGGTTTAGGGGCACCCTCACACCGACACAAACTAACCCTAACCCCCCAGGTACCTACTATACAGGGCCCTATATAGGGGCTCTAGTACCCTATATAGTAGGTACCTGGGGGGTTAGGGTAAGATATCCACACAATGCACCACGCCGGCACAGGTATGTGCAATGTGCAACCATATCTTTGGGCTTCATTCATGGCTCAATCAAGTCCGAACCCGAGAGCCTTTACCCCCTTAAGTTTTCGTAAACCGCATAGGTCACGGCCAGGCAACAACAATGTTCTATGATGCCGCCTTCTAAGGTGAGTTCAATTTCCGTGAAGCCTCAGAATCAAGTCAGAAAAAGCCCGTATGAAGCCAAGGATCCAAATACGACGCATTGCCAAAACCCTTATTGGGAGCTGAGGGGTTGTCGGTGACCACGGCTGTTCAATTGTTTAGTTAGGAGCCTAGAATGTTACTGAAGTTTCTATGGTCTAGGACATTTTCAGGTGGGCAGTTGCCGTTATAGGAGCCTTATAGACGGTCTATATGCCTTATAGAAGCCTTATAGAAGCCCTATATACCCTCAACTCCCCACTTAGTTTCCTTTAATGAGGTGGCAGGCTGTGCCGAGCTGATGTCGCAGCAGCTGTTGAAAGCTGCAGGCCCGAACGATAGCCGGTGGTTTAGGGTTTTCGGTTTAGAGTTTAGGGAGGCTTGCAGATGTAGTGGGGTTTGTGTTTCGAGGGATCAGGGCTTGTGGTGCGTATGTTGTGTAACTATGTAGGTCATCGGCTAGAAACACCAATAATAAGCCTTGTAAGACCCGAATGAAACCCTAAACCCTAAACCCGAATGAAATTCGCCGAGACCCTAAGCATGGGGCCCTAATGAAACCCTTCGTGATCTAAATGAGATCCCATGAAGCCCCATTTCAGCCGTCCAAGGATCTACAGGGTTCCCTTTAAAGGTTCCTGTGAGGGATCAAAAGGGCTATAAGGGTTCCTTTAAGGGCTCCTTTGAAGGAAATCTGGAGGTTCAGGATATCGACGTTGCCGGGTACACATCCAAGCAGACTAAGACTCCCACACGCATAGACCATTAGCGGTCTTATTGCCACTGCTATTTTCGATTATGTAACATGTACTTTTAGTATAGCTGATGTTATAATCATCTGTTGTTGTGATTGTTCTACGGTAGTTATTTTAAACTGATGTAATTGCACATATGCAGATACATGTATGCAAACATGTGCAGAAGATAGATCAATATTGGGCCTGCGTATGTCTACGTGCAGGTTTGAGCAGGTTTGTACTCCTATGTGTAACTCTTTGATTCAACCCTAAACCCTAAACCCTAAACCCTTTTGATTCAAGCTTCACACCCTCGCAGAACTCAGGGATTCAGGGGTTCTGGGTCAGGATTTCAGGTGCAGGGCAAGGGAGTATGGAGTTAAGTGAGGGTTTAGGGTTTCGGGCTCCCGAAACCCTAAACCCCTCAAGCTTGTGGAGCTTGTGCAAGTTAGTAAACCCTACACACCAGGGCTCATTTCGAAACCCCAGCCCCCCAACAACCACAAAGCCCTAAACCCTATAACCCTTAAACCCTTAAACCCTTCCACCCTAAACCCTAGACCCTTCAACCCTTAAACACTAATCCCAAATCCCATTAGTTGTGGGCTCTAGGCTTGCAAGTGACTTCAGACTTGGCTGCTCTCCGAGATGGGCTCAGGCCTTCAGAGACCGGCTCAGCATAATATGGGTTTGAGGGTTTAGGGTTTAATGCTTTAGTATTTAAGGTTTAGGGTTGAGGGGTTTGGAGGTTAAGGCTTGGGGTTTATATAATTGAAATGCCTTCGGTTCCCAAAATTCTATACCTTGCACCCCGAAACTTTTATTCGCCAATCCCTCAACCGCAAACACTTGCTTCTGCAGCCATTGTGAGGCCAACCGAACGAGGATGAGGCGTCCTTCCTGGATTGCTATATGGGTAGTTGTCAAAATTATGGTCCCTTTTGGGGTACCCTAAATAATAGGTGCCGTACTATAATAAGGACCCAAAAAGGGACCCTAATTTTGACAACCACCCATATGTCTTCCAAAATCCCTTGACTAAGGAATATGTTACCCTAAACCCCTAAACCCCAAACCCCTAAACCCTGATCCCCTTAATCCAAAACCCCTAAACCCCAAATCTTAAACCCAGAACCGAAACCCCTTCATCCGGATAGGCTGTCTGTCTTGAGGGTGTTTATCGTGTTTCTGAAAGGGCGCCAAGTGCCCAGGGTTTTAAGAGTTTAGAGTTTAAACCTTCCAAGATCCCAATTATAGTTTAGGAACGTGCCCCAAGTTGTTCGAGGATCTCTAATATGGTTTAAGGAATATTCCTGAATAAGGGTATATTGGAAGACCTGAGTGGGCTACTAGATTTCTCCAGTTCAGGGTTTCATGGGCTGTTTAAGGTTCAGGGTTTATGGTTCAGGGCTTGCGGTGCCTCAGGCTATGCAGAGGAATCATCGTGGATGATGCAGGGTTTAGAATCCAGGGTTTTAGGGACAAGCCATCTTTTTCGTGTACCCTAGACTATAGAACCATCGCATGTCCATCAGCAGAAAAGGTGCATCCACCGTTTAAGTTCTAGATGTATGTTTTCCGGCTTGCATATTTGAGAGTTTTGTGCTTTATGTCTTTGTTCGGTTTATGGTTCCTTAGCTAATTTAAATCGAAGGGTTTAGGTCTAAGGGTTTCAATCATAAGAGTGCTCTCGTGCTGCTTGCGATTAAACCATTTCAAACCCTAGACCCTAAACCCCAAACGCCTGTCTCTACCTGTGAGACTTTCGGAAGCTGTAGCTTGGGTGCTCTAAGCCTGTAAGGGCCCTATACCAGGCAGATTGCACAAGCTGTTGGATTTTGGGTCTAGCTATACGTCGAGTAGGGTTTGTGTTTTGAAATGCGCCGGTTAATAGCTCCTAGTTTAGCTCCTGCCGTTGATACTTCCCCAAGTCACAGTAGTCATTCCGAATATCGAAACTCGAGATTCTGCTATATGGATACTTAGGACCCTTTGGGGTTATCCAGGGTTCAAGCAATAATATAGAAACACTCCAGCGTATTCGGGTTTAGGGTGTAGGGTTTAGCGTTTAGGGTTGAGATGTGGCTCTGATAGAAAGCTGCTACAATCCGCTACACCCTCGAGTTGCAGTTTGGGCCGAAAGCCTCCTATCTTAAACCTGAGTCATAACCACCCCCAAAGCCTACATCCTGAACTGAAGCATGAATCCTGAAAACCTAAGTCCAGAACAGGATCTAAAATCTTAGCTTAAGCCCTCAGTCCTGTTCCCGCCCCCGAGAGGTCTTCCCCAAAGGATCCTAAGTATCTATATGGTAGAATTCAGGGTTTCTATACTAGGAGGTATTTTTATGAATTGGGAAGTATCCCTCATAGCACCTAGGACCCTAAACCCTAAACCTTTGCGTTCATCAGCCGGGATCGCTCCAGGTCCGCGGCCTCTGGCCCACTCTCAGCAGGGTGCTTTTCGGCCCCGCGCTCAGCAGTGTGCATCCCCAAGCCCTAAACTCCATAAGTTTTGAACTCAGGCGTTGCAGACATGACTCCGTCGGAGATTTTCGCTGCAGCTCCTGGCCTGCGGTCGGGGTCCCACCCGGGATTTGGATTTCGGATTTAACTTTTAGGGTTTTGGGTTTGCCGTGTACGGTTTAGGGTTAAGGGTTTGGCGTATAGGGTTTTGGTTTTAGGGTTTGGCGTGTAGGGTGTAGGGTTTAGGGTTTAGGCTTTAACCTGCTTGAACGAACAGGGGTCTTAGCAACAGCAGCTCGGGGTTCATAAAGTATATATTTCGGTCGCGGCGACATCACCCTAACGGCCCAGGTACGTAAATACAGTATATGCTTTGGGCTGTAGCTGAGTTGGCAGCCGCTGTCGCACGAGAACCTGAAGATCAGAATACGGGTAGTTAGCTGAATTAGGGTTTTTTTCGG